ACTGTAATGTTAACTTGGGTCTAGGATTGTAGCTAATTGACAAGGCAGCTCAGGGAAAGTCACAATTTTAGGGACAACAGTGAGTCTATGGCATTTGCTTTCCTGCAGGAGAAGATGTAATACATTCCCACCATTCAAGAGAACTCAAGAATGCTGGTCGGGGCATTTTGCTGGTAAGCTTTATTTCAGCTCAAAAGGTGTATTTCCGTTGGTCCCTGCCAGAAACTTTCTCGGCAGTCAAGGAGATGATTGCAACACAGCTACCTTTGAACCAAGTTTGAAAATCCTACTAGGAAACCACCCCGTGCGATCAGAAGGTGCGGCTTGCGTACAAGTCTAAACAGACTAGTTCACTTAGAGACCAACACCAGACTGGATGCTGCTGAGCTCATCAGCTCCATCTTGCCATCCTGATGGATCAAGGAGATGGGTCTATAGTTAAAGCACTTGGAGGGGTTTGTCAATCGAGAACAGAGCTTTGTCTTTGGAAGGCAACTTCTTGCTGGCTAGGTTATAGAAGCTAAGGAGTGACGTCAAGGTGTTGTCAGGCCAGAATTTGCAGATAACCATAGCACGATTCTCCTCCAGCAGGCATGGGTTTAGCCTCCTTTAGTTCCTGCAGGGACACAGGAGCCTCCAAATACCAACTTATTATCAGGCGGTCTTGGGGGAACCTCTGGGCCCTGCAATAAAGTAGACAAACTTGCTATTGGAAAGTGCTCAGGAGCAATTGAGCCCTGATCAGACTGTTCTAAAACCCTGCAAACAATCTCTGGACTAGATCCTCAAAACACTTACAGAGTTTTTAATGGTACGAAGTACTTCAAGGACACCGTTTATCAGCATCCTTCATGAGTCCCCCATCTTATGCTTTGATTATGTTTGATTTGGTTTGTTAATCTGGTTTGATTGTGTTTTTGATTTGGTTTTTATTCTGTGTTTAAACCAAAGCCATATCAAGGCTACATTACTTTGGACAAGCCTCTTCTGAGCCCCACATGTAAAATAACCTCTCTTCAATGGTCTTTAAAGTCTAACTTGAAGGATCACCAACAGGTTGGAGTGAAACCTCCCTCATGCTAATGTACTTTATTTATCCCAACCAGCATTTTAAAACTTGGGAAATTCACACTGTAATACCAGGTCCACTTTCCCCACATTGTCTTTGGATCAAGCCTGCACCCATGGGTAATCAAGGCTTAGTTCGCCTTAGCCTACCAGGGAACCTGTAGCATTGCATTTTGATTATTTGATGATATATGTGTTGGTCTCCTCAATAGGAATTATTGTCAATGAATTTTCTGTTCTTAGCAATGTATGGATATTGTAGATAATGAACATATACATATTGAATTACATGTGTTATATTCATACTGTTCAGTGGAATGAGTCTGGACCACTGTTTGTATGCTAACACATATGTTCTGAAGCTAACATCTTTGGCTAAGAGGCTGCTTCAGGTGAGAGAGACATGCTAGTTCACAGCCCAGATCTTTAATGCATCCAGAAGAATGATAGTGTAGTGTTCATGTGACGTTGTGCTTTAAACAAATGGGGAAGCTCTGAGCTCTTTCTTAGATCCTCTTACATTTATTTATCAGATGCAACCTACCCAACTTCTTGTAGTTGGGTAAGTTAACTATCCCTTTGTTGTTATTATAATCATTCTTTTATTATTATTTTTAAAATACATGTAAAAATTTCTTTTCTTTATTGGAAATGCATCTACAAAGTAATGTTTCCCAGTCCACAACAGGGTGTATGTATTTCAGGCTCTGTTGGGCTGGTAAGAGAATCCTAACTAGAGGACCTAGTTTCTTTAAGAATGGTTGGTATAAAAAAAATTAAAAAAAAAACACTGGGTGACAGAGCTAATTTTCCATGATTAAATTTCTTCTAGTGGCATCACAAAATCACATGGTCATGTGTATTAATGTTGTGGTTCCCCAAAATAGAATCTCAACATTAAATGCTCCACCACTACCTAATGTTCATATTTAGTGGGAATCCTTACCTGAAAGCTAAGCGCCCAACATTATATGGCCCTATATATCATGACATATCTAATTCCTGGATGACAATATTTAGAATGTCAAATAAAGCATTTGTTGTTTTAAGTTCATTTATGTTAAAATCCTTACTTAAATCTGTTAAATTTGCTAATATATTGTATAAAACATGTCTAGTTAATAAATTCATACGTAGGTAAGTTTATAGGAATATTGCAAATGAAAATGCCTGTAACTTCTTTTATTTGTTAGAAATCTGGTAGTGATTAATATTTCAGAGCAATAGAGCCTCATCTATTCAATAGCTGGCTAACATCCAAGGTACCTCACACTCATACTTTGGGGAAACAGTACAAAGGATGCTATTCCTGCTCTCTAGGAGCTTACAATCTAACTTAGACCTTTAGAAACACATATGCAAGAGTAGTCATACTACTGAACAAAAGGCAACAGATACATTGCAGATAAAGGGAAAAATTACAGGCCAAAGAGTGACATTTAAGAAAGAATAAGGGGAAGGAGAGAATTCATCGCTTCTTCGCTCCTATTTCTTGGAGGAAAGGTAGATGGATGGTATGTGATTTCAAGTGTCTTTATAATGGCCACAGAGTATATTATTTGGTGCCTGAAGGAAAAAAAACTCCTGTTCTAAGATTCTATGTGGTTGAGCATACTGAGCCAGGTAAAGGTGATTGAGAGAAAAGCTCAGTAAGACATTATGGAGAAGAAACAGTCAAACGGAGAAATGATAGTTTGGAGCACTAGTGTGGGCCAGAAGCTCTTGGGAGGTTATGAGTCTCCTCCACTCTTTCATTCTTTGTAATAGGGTGACATAGAGTAGACAAATTACAAAGCCAATACTGCAAAGATCATCTAAATATCTAATACAGAACTTTGGCTAAACTCCCTATGGAGTCAAGATTGAGAAGATAACCTTCACAAGGTCTTTTGGGATTTCTAATAGAAGAAAGTACTACCAAACAGAACCATAGACTCAACATCATCTATTCCACTTCTATAGATGGTCATTTGGCTTTTGTTTGCTTGCTTACTCATTCAAATTCACTTCCTCTTATGGTATGTGATTTCAAGTGTCCTTATAATGTTGAGACATGTGGGGCTGATGGTATTCACTTATTTACCCAGTTTTATTTTCCTCCATCACCAAAAGAAAGCAAGCTTTGTGAGGAAAGGCTGACAGTAGTCAACTTTGATTCTATAATATGCCCTCAGGCTTCCTGAAATACTTCAGATCGCCCAATACTACTGGTGACGAGGCATGAAAGTACCCAGCTCCTAGTGAGAACAATCAAAATAAGAACAGATATACCAACTCAGTGTGCTGCATCACATGGTTTACTGTTTGACATGTATATTCAATTTATGCAGGGTATTTCAAGGGTTTCAAAGGAATGCAGACTTTAAAGAATGATTCTACTCAGTTTACTCACACCATAATGACAACATTAGGATCAATAATGCTTTGATTTCAAACAACACTATTTACTTTAAGGAACTCAATAGTCTTCACAAATGTTATTTAATTTATCATGTCATATTATGTATTCAACTGAAAACTTGTGAAATCCAATCTCACAGATTAAATTTTTTTTAGCCAATTCTGAATCATTACAACCCTGTGAGGCTCATCTTTCTCTCATAGAGAAGCCGATGATTTTGAACTACAAACCTTGTGGTTAGCAGCCCAACATGTAATCCACTATATGACCAGAGTTCCTTAGTCTCATGCATAATGAACTATTAACATTGCTTTCCTATTAAACAAGAACCCTGGCGCACAATGGCTAAGTATTCTATTGCTAGCCAAAAGGTCAGCAGATAGAACCCTCTGGCTGCTCCACAAAGGAAAGATGTGGCCATCTGCTTTAATAAGTATTATAAGCAGTTCTCCTCTGCTCAGTAGTGTCACTTTGAGTTAAAAATGACTTGGCAGCAATGGACTTTTCCATTGTAATCTCAAATACAATCTTAAACATACTTTGGGGTAAATGTAGGCAAATAGGGGGGAAATGCAAGTGTTTTTTTAATATATGAACAACTTTTACACTCATTCTTGACTCCATGGGAGCTCTTAGGGGAAAGTGGGTCCCCAGTGACTCAGCTTGATCAGTCCTGTCTTATGTCTGGATTGGAATATGCAAATACACAGAAGATCGTCAGTGTCAGAGACCCCTGTGACCTGAGTGACCTGCTATGCTTCGCTCATGAACCTTTTTCACATATGAGGAAAGGTAAGGAATTCCAATGGTTTAAGCATGTTTTTCTATTGTGGCTTTATTTATTTTGGTGGTTGTTGCTATCAAGGAGGAGCTCCATGTTTGATATTTAAGTCAGGGCTCAAAAGACCTGATAAAATGCTCTGAGAAAAATACCGAGTTTCTAAAACCAATGATTACCAACAGTTAATAAAAGTGAAGGAACAAATTTGTTTCTGTGAAAGGTCAGCCCATTTAACAAGCACATCATCTGTCTCCATCTCTCTTTGTCATGGTGGCCACACAACAAGGTCTCATGCCAGGAATACCCAATTGATACCACCTGTGTATAACACATCACTTTCCAACTACCTATTCTGTATATTTAATCAACTCCAACAAGTTAAATGTAAATAGCATCAATTGTCTGTCTCCTATAATTGATGTATGTACATTCTACTGATACTTCTGTTTTATGTCTGCATCTTTTTCAGATAAGCAGGCCTCGACTCTCACTTCATGTTGACAAATGGTTTTGGAAAATGGACCCCAAGAGAAGTCAAGAGTCGGCCCACAGTTCCAATCCCAAGAGGAGACGTGCCCTGAGAATTCCATAAGCAACAAAATAAAGAATCTACTCCTTGGGCCAAAAGTTCCCAGAATCCTCAGATAGTTCACCCAACTTCAAGTCATGCTTGTCAGGGACTCTCATAAACACACTGGTTGATACAGTTATGCAGCAAATGAGCCAATAAGTATAAACAGCTGTACTTACATGTGTCTGGCTTGAGCTGACTGTTAGTGATGCCAAAGTACTGGGGATTTTCAATGACAGGGATCTTGGTCATTCCAATAATGACGGCCTCGGGGCCGCCCTCAGAAGAAGATGGAGTGTTACTCCCATTAGAGATGTGGTGGAGTGGACTGGCCGAGTCATCGTCATTGCTGATAACTGAGGCAGGGCCTGGAGTTGGAACAAATATATCTCCTGTAATTTTTAAACATTGATTGAGATATAATTCACATACATAAAATTCACCGATTTAATGGCTTTTCCTGTGTTCATACAACTGTGCAACTATCCCCACACTCTAGTTTTTGAGCATTTTCATCACACAAATTAACAGTTACTCCCCATCCCCAACCTGGCATCTTAAACACTCAAATTCTATGGTCTGTTTCAATGGATTTGCCTATTTGGACAGTTCAGATCAATGGAATCACACAGTATGTGGTCTTTTGTGACTAGTTTCCTTTACGTAGTATAATGCCTTCAAGGTTCATCCATAGTATAACATATATAAGTGCTATGTTGCAAGTCATATTTCACTGTATGGATACGCACAAGGGTTCCCTTGTGATGCCATCATAACCCAGTTCTGACATGAGTCTAATATCTCATTTGTGTTTAGTTTTCAATATTATTGTTTTTCATTATTAGTACTTTTATAAATCCTAATAGTGAACATCTGTGAGTGGATATCTGAGATGATAATGTCAGAAAATTGCATGCTTCAACATGTAATTTCTAAAAAGTTTTAATTAAAAAAATCTTAAGTGCTATTCATCTTAACTTGAATCCATCATCAGTTGGGGACCACTGGTATCACATCTTTTTAAATCAATTCTTCAGTTTAGGAGCATTGGGGTTCTGCCTACTCTCTGGCTCTCATGAACAGTGCTGCTGGAAATGCAGGCGTCCTAAGGGTGCAATGACCAACAGAATAGGCCGTTATCAGACAAATCTGAACCCACCAGTCATTCCATAGGAAAAGATGTGGCATCTGATTCCCTAAAAAGAATTTAGTCTTGGAATCCCTATGGAGCAGTCCTACCCTGTCCTACAGTATCACGGTGATTGAGGCTTGATGGCTAAAGGTACGGGCTGGGAACATGCATGTTCAAGATTTTGTAAGGCCAGTAAATTTTCATTTCTCAAGTAGAATTTCTGGGTCACATAGTTGCTCTACATTAGACGTTCAGTCAAAAAGTATTGCTGGTAGGATCCCAATTCATACATTTATGGATTTATTCCAAACAAAATGCATTTAAACATTGCTTAGTGATAAGTAGATAACTGGACAAGTTCTCTCAGTAATACACTTGTCTGAGTCTCAATAGGGTGCCTTAAAATTAAAAACTACATTCTGAATAGTAGCTTCCAAGGGACTCTGCTAGGCCACTTAAATTCAGGACACACATGTCAGCTCAGAAAGTTATAACAACCGTTTTGTGGAATTCCATAGGAGGAATCTTGATGTATTTTTTTGAAGGATATAGGCCAATCATGGAGGGTTATTATGAAGAAGGTTTATGAAAATAGAAAGCTGCATTAGTAAGAAAAGAGGCGAAGGAAGTTGCACAAAACATTTATTTTTCCTTTCTTGACATTGCACCTACTCATTCTTTGAGGGTGCCAAGAGTTGTCCTGTGCGAATTTCATTGGGAAACGTTCCCCCATACACATTCTAGCCCTCATCTTGCCTCTTCAAGCTTCAGTTTGTTCCTAAAACTCAAAGAACATTTAAGAGGAACACGATTTAAGTCTCTTGAGGGGACACAAACTGCTGTTTTGACCTGGTATGAATCAAAGCGTGAAGAACACTACCTTGAAAGTGTATAGACCTAGATAAAGGATGGCTGAGAAACAATAGCTTCACATTTTTATACCTTTCTTTAATAAAAGTGTCTCTGGCTGTGTAGCGATACTTTATCCTCATATAGCATGAGAATTGCCTTGTTTCCCAAAGTGGCTGCACCATTTTCCATTTCCTCCAGCAACTCTGAGGGCGCCAATGTCAGTATATCCTTCTGTCCTGGAATCGACAGAGCCTTCTCTCCTGGTATGTACAGAGTCCCCTTGTGCTCTTCAAACGCCTTTAGGGCACTGCCACGGAAACTCACAGCAAGATGCTAGGATCCCTGCTTCACAGGAAGGTATACTAGAAATCTGAAGATGAGTCATTTTCCACATTCCTTCGACAATTCACTTACCTTCTTTGGAAGTCTACATCGATTTACATTACAAAATGATACGACTTGTCACTTCGTGAAATAGAAATGGGGGAGTGACAGTAAAGTAGATTACAACCTTAAACATGTTTTTGAATAAGAGTTGTTGCTAAGTATTATTAAATTAACTCAAATCTAGCATAACAGAAACATATCATATGGTTTTATTGATATGCCCCTCTTATTCTATATTCTGTGAAGAGTAGATACATCATCTTTTATTACAAAATACTTGCATAACAATAAAAAAACTAACTAATTCACTGCCATCTAGTCAATTCCAACTTACAGCAACCCTATAAGACAAAAAATAAGTGCCCCTCTGAGCCTCCAAGACCACGATTCCCCACCTCCACCCCACCCCCACCCCCAAGAGTGGCTGGTGGTTTGAAACGCTGATCTAGTGGTTAATATATCAACATAAAACCCACCACTACTCCAGAGATCCTCAATCACACATTAAAATGACCATTTTAGCCTTTAGCAGTTCCTGTAACATAATCTGTAAAGTCATTATCTGATGTCTTCAGACTAAAGCAATGACCATAGCATTTTCCACACAGCATTTACACTTTCTAGTTCCGATTCTCAGAATGTATATGCTCACACACAGGGCTATTGAAGGCATGTGAAGACCTGGGACACTGATCATCGGTGTTGCTCTCTCTGCTTCTTCACACATTTGGATGGGATATGTAATAGATATGAGCGGATGGTGAGTTCAACCCATTGGCCTGGTGATTAGCAGCCGAATGTGTAACCTACGATGCCTATGAGTCAAAATTGACTCGATGGAAGTGAGATACGTGATGTTAATTTTGTGATGTAACTTCTTTTTTAAAGCAACTGTAATATTTATTAGTAATTGAATGTAAAAGTGTTATATATCTTTTTGGTGGAATGAAATGAACCAGATTACAAATGTCTTAGTGTGTGAGCTATTAAAGATTTTTATTATATACCGCAGTTTCTTCAAAAAGAATGTTCTGCATACTCTACACAAAGAAAATATGGTAATGAATTTAGTTGTTTCAAGAATCAATGTAAGATTCTGTTCATTTCCCACACAAAAATTGGCTTTACAATTCTATTTAAATCGCTTTTACTTCCATTTTGATGCTTGCTTCATAATAAATGCTATAGTTATAAATGAATGAAGGAAAATATATCATAAAAGAAGATTTAATCATCAGAAAACAAATATTACAGCAAATTACTATATTTTGTTTTTAGAGAGGTAGACAATAGCTCATTGCCTACGCCTCCTTCTCCCACCCACCTTTTGTTTATTAGAAAGAAATAGCATATTTTCAAGAGACTCACTGAGATGGCGTTTCAATTACAGGGGAGAGGACAGTAGGTGAAAGAGATCAATGAAAGCATTGTACTGGTAGGGTCCTCGTAGCGCATACAGCCTTGTGCATAGTACCAGTGTGGCCCTGAGTGACCTTTATTCCAGCCAGTATAGTGTCACACATTGTGAACCCTTATCAGTTTCTTTTAGGATCCTGCTAATTCCTTCCTACTGTGGTGCTTGCTTTCTCTTGTGTCCTGTCTTGCTAGCATCTATGGATCTTTGCTTTAGACAACTGGTACCCTGTTTTGCTGACGCCCCAACCACCAGATTACCTAGCTTCCTGGATGATCCAGCCCTGTACATTCATATGGTCTACTGTGTCTTGAATTTTAAAAACAATCCATTGAACACTCAACTCATACCATTTGACACCAAAATTGGAACCACAATTCATAAAGCTTTATGTCAAAATTTCATGATAATTAAAATCTTAATGGTTCATGATAGGCATTCAAAGCATGGGAGGTAAGCAAATGTATCTTATATACATTTCTGAAGTAGAGTACATGAAGAAAAATGAAGCATCAGAACTGGAAGAAGATTCATTAACAATTGTAATATGCAGATGACTGAAACTGGTAAGAAGGACTTAGAATAGTTACTAAGGAGGAGCAAAGGCTACAACCTTCAATATAGATTACACACACACACACACACACACACACACCTAACAACTGAACCAATAAACAAGACCACAATGCCATAATGAACAGATAAAAGACTGGAGATGTCAAAGATTTAATTTTACTTGGAAAACGATCGATATCCTTGAAAGCAGCAGTCAAGAAATTAAACTACACATTGCGTTGGCAAATCAACCTCTAAAGTGAAAGCTGAGGATTAAGGTGTATCTAACCAAAGTCATGATATTTTCCATCACCTCATAGGCACGTGAAAGCTGGATAATGAATTGAGATTATTGAATAACTGATGCCTTTGAATTATGGTGCTTGCCAAAATATTAAATGTGCCATGAACTACTAAAAAAGCAAACAAATTAGTCTCAAAAGTACAACCAGAATGCTCTCAGAAGTGAGGATGGTGAGATTTGGTCCCACGTTCTGTAGACATGTTGTTAGGAAGGACCACTCTCTGGAGAAGGACATGGTTCTTGGAAAAGCAGAGGATCAGCAGAAAGAGATGAACTGACCCAGTGGCTGCCAACAATGGGCTCAATGAAAGCAGTGATTGTGAGAATGGCATAGAGGTGAGCAATGTTTCACTCAGCTCTACTGAGGATCATTATGAATGGGAATTGATCATTATGGTGGCATTTAACAAAAGCAATAATGTGTGGGTGCAGATTCCACTGAAGTAGACAACTGCACACAGGTCCTTGAAGAACTCAGGGGGTAGCTAAAGAGAGAAAGGATAATGAGGGAAAGACTGGGAAGATAGAGAAATGAGGCAGAATTAATATTCCAACAAGGTAAATGAATCCTAGGAAAGAGAGTCTTAATTTTTGCTTCTTGAGCAAGGCAAGGGAACCCTGGCTGCATAATAATTAATCACTCAACTACTTTCCATCAGGCCCTCTGAGAAACTAACACGTCACTGTCTGCTTCTGTAAACACTGCATCCTGGGAGCCCCCACA